CTATGTCATGGGTTCGTATCCTGGCCGGGGAGGATTTACTGGGCGCAATTCCTTAACTGTAGCCTCTGTTTAACGCAACAGTAAAAAATGTGTACTTGGTTGTAACAACGATTCTTCGCGGCGGGAAACTACACCTGTTCCCACCGTGGAAGAAGCCCACCTTCAAAATTATAATAGAAGGTCTTCCAATGTAAAACGCTGCCTATGATCCAACAATCCTAAGGCGCATCATAGAAAAGCAAATGAGCAACATAGCAGTAGCAGGAGCCACCCACATCTTCACAGACGGATCGGTGGACACAGAATATGAGAGTGCTGGCGCTGCTCTTTGCACGGCCAGCGTACAGGCATATTGGAGACTGGGATGACCAGTATCGTCGAGCATATGTGATTGCACAAAACACTCAAAATGCAATCATACACACAGACTCAAAAGCTGCACTTCAAATATTAGGACAAAAGCAGTAGAAAAACAACGTGGAAATAATAACCACCATTTTGTATCGCGGAGCAGCCGCTAAAGGCAAAATTCTCAACATAACTCTAAACTGGATCCCATCCCATGATGGAAACCCATTCAATGAAAAACCTATGAAATTGCTAAATTGTCAACTCGTCAACCAGTGATACATAAAATGATCCTACCCAGCCTAGAGTACATAAAAAAACACCATCACCAATAAACACTCACTGACTCACCAAGAAGTCATCTAAACAAGAGAGTAGCTGCAGGTTTGCCCTCAGCAATATGGTATCTTCAAGCTACCATGTTAGACAGGTTAAATATCCGAAAAGGAATGCTCAGAGAAATAGCAGTTAGGTTATATAGACTACGTCTAGGTTACAGATGCAACTGGGAGATTGGTGAACCCCGACAGAGAGAGTGCATCTTCTGCCAAACTGTCACAGAAAAGCCACTACTTCACTATCTCCTGGAATGTGAAGCAACCAACGACCTTAGAAGAGCTTTAAGAGTCCCTGAATCTTGCAGTAACCACCCTGAAGCCATCAACACTGCCACTCTTCTGGTCAAAAAAGGTGTCCAGCAGCTGGACACCCTCATAAATACTGTCAAGCAGTATCCTCCCCCGCGATAGCAGCCTGACGATTAAATGCGACCTCAGCACACAGTATACATTTACTAAACAAAAAATCTACCACTTACGGGCTATTCATGCCCGTGCCACCTCTTGGGTGGCTTAATCTTCATCAATTAATCAATCAATTCCAGATGATTTGTAATTTAGTAAAATTGGGGAATTTTCTTGGAGAATATTAAAATTCTTGAAGATATTTAATGTATGTTGACCAGACCACACACTGGAAGGTGAAGGGACGACGACGTTTCGGTCCGTCCTGGACCATTCTCAAGTCGATTGTGAATGGTCCAGGACGGACCGAAACGTCGTCATCCCGTCACCTTCTAGTGTGTGGTCTGGTCAACATACTTTAGCCACGTTATTGTGACTCATCGCCTGCATGTTTAATGTATAATAGGCACAGTAAGTTGTGGATGCAAGACATAGCCAGCGATTATTATTATTAACATCTTTATTGCCAAAATTAATTACAATTTTGCCTAATTTGAGGATTTTAATTAAGTCTTATTAAAGTGAGGATAATGCTGGTATTCACTGTCACACAGGACAGAGGGTCACACACAGGACCCTCTAAACTGTAGGCTGAAGCACACATATATATCATGGTTACAATCAATGTTTTAATGTATGAATATGTGAAAACAACTTTCTGTTGTGCACTGCCACACAAGGGCAGGGATGGGTTCATAAGTGATGCAGCCTAGAAGTTAGATAAATAAAAATTGTTCATTAAAATGGACAAGCAAATTTTGGATAAATTGTTAGGATGTCGTCCAGAACACCTGAGTCAATGAAATAGTTACACAGTTGGTGGTACAAGAGGCCAGGGGGTCTAAAGTCCTTTACGGTTTCTTCTTCTTGAGAATAGGTGCAGTTTGCATGAAGGGTTTACCCTCCCGATAACTGCACCAGGACAGATGTAGGGAGACGCGTTGACGTTGAGGAGAAGAAAGTCAAGTGTTAGATGTGTCGGGCCGTAGAGAGAGGAGTGGCGACGAAAACAGAGGCGGACGCTAGATGGAGACTCGCCGCACCGTAGGGCGGGGAGTTGAGTTCACTGCCGCAGCTGATCCACGCACAGCGGAGCGGGGTGCCCGAGACGTCAATTAATATTTCTCTGGAAATTTGTGTAACGGAAAGCGCAAGGAGGTATCCAGGGAGGGCGACGGAATCTGCAGAAGAGAAGAGGTACTCGTCAACGTGGAAACTTCCAGAGGCGACGAGGCAGAGGACGTGGGTGGAGACACGCATACCACCGCCCCGTCAGCCCCAAGAAGTACATGGCCTCCAGCAGGAGACGCAGGCACCAGCCCTACAGCATCCCCCAAGGCCACCGGATGCGGATGCACCTCCGCAGTCATCGAACGACGAAGGTTCGAAACAGGCGCCCCCAGGTCCCCCGAGCTCACCGGCGGGGCAGACGTATTCGGTCCAGACGTAGTGACATCCGGAACCGCCGCGGGATCCACACCAGGCACCGCACAGAGCGAGAATCCGCCGGGGAGTCCACACGCACAGATAAGCGAGGAAAATCATCCTCTAGGAAAACTGAAGGGGCTTCTGTATGAGGAGCGTCGCAACCGGCCACTACGTGGCCCTCAGCACCACACCGGAAACACTTGCGGGTTTGACCCTGATAGAAAGTCCTCAGAGACAGCTCACGATACGAGACCCTGGACGGTATAGGGCTTGTGAGCCGCATGACAAGCGTGCGTGAACCCAGCCGGACCCCTTCAGCCGGCCCGCACTCAAAAGTGTTGAACCGGTGCTTCACCACCGACCGAAACCGCGTAAACAAGGGCATGAGGGCCGCCTCGGGGAAGGTCACCGGCACGCCGTGAATACTCACAAACGTCAAGGGCCCCCAGGGATCCGAGATCTCCACAGACACCGCCGAAGCCGGAAGAGGAGGCGTGCGGCCATTCCAGCGAGCCACAAACTCCCGGTAAGCATGTGACGTGGCGAACGACACCGCAACACGAGTGGGCGACAACTTCTCGAGGCCCAGGAGCTCGGGGACGTCAACACAGAGGACGTCTAGGAGGGCAACCACTACAACGGGCCAGTTCACATCAGCAGAAAAGTCCAGCCGCACTGTGTCTATCCTCCGAATGCGGCTAGTACCAGCCCCGTCCATACTGGCAGGTGGGGCCCCGACCAGCGGGCGCTCCACAACCCCCCCCCCCCTCCCCACAACAACCGCCACTTAGCAACGGCAGACGACTACTGACAGCCAGAGCCCGACGTCTGCACCCTCTGGTGGCGCAGCCAGAAATCACGACAAGCAGTAGTTAGTACCAATTTTCCAAGGCAACTATTGCCAGTCCTTTGTAAAGAACTAAAATACTACCTTAAGATCGTGGTCCCTCCTTTGGTTCTGATTAATTCAAACGATGTTTTAAATTTAGCCGGCAATGCTTCACTTGTGAATTTTCTTCTATCATTTTTTTTTTCTGAGATATATACAAGAGTTGTTACATTCTTGTACAGCCACTAGTACGCGTAGCGTTTCGGGCAGGTCCCTGGAATACGATCCCAGCCGCGAAGAATCGTTGTTACAACCAAGTACACATTTTTTACTGTTGAGTTAAACAGAGGCTACAGTTAAGGATTTGCGCCCAGTAAATCCTCCCCGGCCAGGATACGAACCCATGACAAAGCGCTCGAGTATCACCAGTGTTGAGAAAAACTAATGATTTGTTTTCCTTCCTGCGATGATTGTGTCCACATCAGCCATATCCCGGTCGTTTGTTCCCACAAAGAACACTCGAGTCCTCCTCTTTGTATCCTTGGCAAAGGCTGTCGTGTCCATATAGGTGACCTAGAACAAAAATGTTCTTGCCTTCTCACCGAGTTCCTCTCACAGTTGAGAGGCGGGACCAAAAAGCCAAAGCTCAACCCCCGCAAGCACAAATAGGGGAGTACAAATAGATGAGTACAGCCCAACAAGGAGTTAATCCACAGCTTCAACACTCCCGGTGTTGGAGCCGGTCGGCCGAGCGGACAGCCCGCTGGACTTGTGATCCTGTGGTCCCGGGTTCGATCCAGGGCGCCGGCGAGAAACAATGGGCAGAGTTTCTTTCACCCTATGCCCCTGTTACCTAGCAGTAAAATAGGTACCTGGGTGTTAGTCAGCTGTCACGGGCTGCTTCCTGGGGGTGGAGGCCTGGTCGAGGACCGGGCCGCGGGGACACTAAAGCCCCGAAATCATCTCAAGATAACCTCCCAGTACCAATAGCTTCTTTCATTAGGTGTTTTGTTCACCGCCTTCCAGCAAACACACTTGAATGAATATTTTTTAAAGTCTATAATCACAGAACAAGCTTCAGAAAACTCGTTCTTTAAGATTATGAATGATTGTACTTTTAAATTCTTTAATCACTGTACAAACTATTACAAAACCGGTTAGTTAGCTTTAAGACGTGGCAGAAACTAAGCGCATACTAACGGTATCCTTAATGCTAATACTATTATTTATATGAATTAATGTGTAACTCTCTACTGAACTGACATGATTATTGTATATCCACACACCAAACATTTTTGGTAACCTCATATATGTCTTTGTAAATAAAGATCAATAAATATACGTGGTGGTGTATTGGTAGGCGTACGTGGTGCGTAGTGCAGTGGTAAGACACTCGCCTGGCGTTCCGCGAGCGCTTTGTCATGGGTTCGTATCCTGGCCGGAGAGGATTTACTGGGCGTAATTCCTTAACTGTAGCCTCTGTTTAACGCAACAGTAAAATGTGTACTTGGTTGTAAAAACGATTCTTCGCGGCGGGGATCGTATTCCAGGGACCTGCCCGAAACGCTACGCGTACTAGTGGCTGTACAAGAATGTAACAATTGTATATATCTTAAAAAAAAAAAAAAAAAAATACCTATATAATTTCTTACCTTTATATGAAGGAGATAAAAGGAGAGGTTCTCTCACCCAGAGAGTAATAAACCATGGAATCACTTATTAGTCGAAGCCGTAGTTAAGTTCAAAATCCAACTGGTAATAAATCATCGAGAATAATATGGGTTACTTTGACAATCCACTGGCTTGCTGTCCCCGTCAAGGTCACTAGACACACTGGGCCCTCAGCAAGGAGGACACTTCTCGTAGTGACCTCTGCCCTCAGAGCACCAGGAGACGGCCCTAACTGGCACTTGCTAGTTAGGCAACTGTTGTCGAATGATTGCGACTGGATAAAGTCTTATTAATAGCTAACAATATATTATATATTATATATATATATATATATATATATATATATATATATATATATATATATATATATATATATATATATATATATATATATATATATATATATATATATATATATATATATATATATATATATATATGTCGTACCTAGTAGCCAGAACGCACTTCTCAGCCTACTATGCAAGGGCTGATTTGCCTACTAAGCCAAGTTTTCATGAATTAATTGTTTTTCGACTACCTAACCTAACCTAACCTAACTTTTTCGGCTACCTAACCTAACCTATAAAGATAGGTTAGGTTAGGTTAGGTAGGGTTGGTTAGGTTCGGTCATATATCTACGTTAATTTTGACTCCAATAAAAAAAATTGACCTCATACATAATGAAATGGGTAGCTTTACCATTTCATAAGAAAAAAATTAGAGAAAATACATTAATTCAGGAAAACTTGGCTTATTAGGCAAATAGGGCCTTGCATAGTAGGCCGAGTACGACGTTCTGGCTACTAGGTACGACATATATATATATATATATATATATATATATATATATACATATATATATATATATATATATATATATATATATTTCCTTATTTTTCTATATACAAAAATATTAATGGAAATGCATGCACAAATAAAGAGGGTTGGAATAAAACACGTAGAAACAATGTATCCCTTTACTGACATAGGATACACGTTACATTTTTTTGTCTTCATCACAGCAAATACAACACTGATGCAGTCAACTCCCGCCTGGAGTGTGGCTGTTGTTGCTTGTTCACGGTTTGGCTAGTCTCCCATCTCAAGATGGCCACCCAGCACAGAAAACGGGTGGAAGGAGGTCGCATTAAGTGTATGGTCGACTTAAGTTTTGCGTGACATGTCCGGTAGTGGATGACCCATCAAGTTATGTCTTGAACAACAAAGGCTGAACATTGTAGCTTGATGACTCGTCGTCCGTGGTTATCTTGTTTCTCAGAGTGTTAGCCAGGCTATTTACCTAGCTCCTACAGCTTCTTATTAATCACTTGTAGTTACATAAGTAATTGACCCCCCCTGCTAGAGGTTTCACAAAGGGTTAAGTGTTCAATGTATAGGTGATGTTTGTATAAAATATATTTATATATTATTTATTCAAATAATATATATATATGAATAATATACATAAATATATAATATATAAATAAATATATTATATCTTTAAAGATCATTATCAATATATCAACTTCGGGACATTAATCGATAGATGATTAGTTAAAACATCTTCAATTTGTCCGCGAAAGTTGTTAGAGAAGATGTTACTCGTCATCAGTTCATCTCTGCAAGACTTTCAGGAGGCGAGAATACTCCACCTCTGTCCAGCCTACATATTAAAATACAATTGCTTCCAACAACATATAACAAAGGTAGAGAATATAAAGAAAAGATCAAGCTGGCATTTTACACGCAGTTATCAAGAGATATCCTGATAGCTTGCTTCCTTCATCAATTACAAAAAAATGATTAATTATCAAATAATAAATGTGGGAGAAGTAGACAACAGCACTAACTGTAAACCATAGAGTCATTCAGAAGAACAAATTCTACATTAATAATACACAAAATGTAAACTGCCAACTTATAAATGCTTTTATTGAACTATAGCTCAACCACCAATTTAAAATTATCATTAGGTTTATCATCTATCAATTCGAAATATTCCAATTTTAGTTAAATAATAAATCCTGGTGTCCTCTTAATTTTCCTTCAACATTGCGTTGGCACAAGACGCTATATACTGGCTATATTCTAATGGTTGTAAATCTAACGAGGAAGAGAAGCAGTCAAACGCCCCAGACAGCTATTAAACCATCCGTCGTGACATGACACGATCTCTCGACCTGGGTCCTACTCAGGGCAGGCGACGGCATATTCAGGCGAGACTTGGCCTCATAATAACATATTTCTCAAGGCAAAAATGATTTCACTGGTGCCGATGTTCAGTATGCAGCCATTCACACTGAACAGGGTTATCCATTCATTATATATTAAATTTATCTTGGATGAGAGTGAATATACTCTTGATTGAAGCGCCTTGCCTCGCCTATCCACCAAACAGTCGCCTCAAACACCTGATATCCTAACATTATCCCATCGTCTATCCCACGTACCACATCTGCCTTTATCTCCTGTAACTGAATTAAAACTATTTAGTGACCAGTTTTCATTCCATGAGACATCAACCATACAAATAAGTATATACAAAATTACTGAAGACTTTACGTCAAGCTCATTCTTGCACTGTTAAAGAAATAATTTTTTTAGATGCAAATGCCTTTACAGTACAAGAACACCAGGAAAAAACAATAAAGTATTTTAATTTATCATGAAGAAAATAACTATAGAAAGATAAAATCAACAAAACTTTAAAAGTTAGCATAGTCACTTGCAAAATATTTATCTCTGATGTGGTTTGGGTCAAGATTGTTAATCTTTCCATGCATTTCTGTAGTGGAAACTGTTTTCATGACAAGTGTTTTATCAATAAGTGCCTCTATGGTAAGTGCCTTCACAGTAAGTGCCTCCATGGTAAGTGCCTTCACAGTAAGTGCCTTTATGGTAAGAGTCTTCATGTTGTATTAGTTTTAAATGGCATCAGAGTAACAGATTACATTATTTTTATTTTAACACATATTTCAGATTTCTTATATTGGTGATGATGTTTAGTGCTTCCCTACCATGGTGATGATGTTAAGTGCTTCCCTACCATGGTGATGATGCTTAGTGCTTCCCTACCATGGTGATGATGTTAATGCTTCCCTACCATGGTGATGATGTTAAGTGCTTTCCTACCATGGTGATGATGATAAGAGCTTCCCTACCATGGTGATGATGATAAGAGCTTCCCTACCATGGTGATGATGTTAATGCTTCTCTACCATAGTGATGTTAAGTGCTTCCCTACCATGGTGATGATGTTAAGTGCTTCCCTACCATGGTGATGATGTTAATGCTTCTCTACCATGGTGATGATGTTTAGTGCTTCCCTACCATGGTGATGATGTTAAGTGCTTCTCTACCATGGTGATGATGTTAATGCTTCCCTACCATGGTGATGATGTTAATGCTTCTCTACCATGGTGATGATGTTAATGCTTCCCTACCATGGTGATGATGTTTAGTGCTTCCCTACCATGGTGATGATGTTTAGTGCTTCTCTACCATGGTGATGATGTTAAGTGCTTCCCTACCATGGTGATGATGTTAAGTGCTTCCCTACCATGGTGATGATGTTAAGTGCTTCCCTACCATGGTGATGATGTTAATGCTTCTCTACCATAGTGATGATAAGTGCTTCCCTACCATGGTGATGATGATAAGTGCTTCCCTACCATGGTGATGATGATAAGTGCTTCCCTACCATGGTGATGATGTTAGTGCTTCCCTACCATGGTGATGATGTTTAGTGCTTCCCTACCATGGTGATGATGTTTAGTGCTTCCCTACCATGGTGATGATGTTTAGTGCTTCCCTACCATGGTGATGATGTTAAGTGCTTCCCTACCATGGTGATGATGCTTAGTGCTTCCCTACCATGGTGATGATGTTAATGCTTCCCTACCATGGTGATGATGTTAAGTGCTTCCTACCATGGTGATGATGATAAGAGCTTCCCTACCATGGTGATGATGATAAGAGCTTCCCTACCATGGTGATGATGTTAATGCTTCTCTACCATAGTGATGTTAAGTGCTTCCCTACCATGGTGATGATGTTAAGTGCTTCCCTACCATGGTGATGATGTTAATGCTTCTCTACCATGGTGATGATGTTTAGTGCTTCCCTACCATGGTGATGATGTTAAGTGCTTCTCTACCATGGTGATGATGTTAATGCTTCCCTACCATGGTGATGATGTTAATGCTTCTCTACCATGGTGATGATGTTAATGCTTCCCTACCATGGTGATGATGTTTAGTGCTTCCCTACCATGGTGATGATGTTAAGTGCTTCTCTACCATGGTGATGATGTTAAGTGCTTCCCTACCATGGTGACGATGTTAAGTGCTTCCCTACCATGGTGATGATGTTAAGTGCTTCCCTACCATGGTGATGATGTTAATGCTTCTCTACCATAGTGATGATAAGTGCTTCCCTACCATGGTGATGATGATAAGTGCTTCCCTACCATGGTGATGATGATAAGTGCTTCCCTACCATGGTGATGATGTTTAGTGCTTCCCTACCATGGTGATGATGTTTAGTGCTTCCCTACCATGGTGATGATGTTTAGTGCTTCCCTACCATGGTGATGATGTTTAGTGCTTCCCTACCATGGTGATGATGTTAAGTGCTTCCCTACCATGGTGATGATGTTTAGTGCTTCCCTACCATGGTGATGATGTTTAGTGCTTCCCTACCATGGTGATGATGTTAATGCTTCCCTACCATGGTGATGATGTTAATGCTTCCCTACCATGGTGATGATGTTTAGTGCTTCCCTACCATGGTGATGATGTTTAGTGCTTCCCTACCATGGTGATGATGTTTAGTGCTTCCCTACCATGGTGATGATGTTTAGTGCTTCCCTACCATGGTGATGATGTTAATGCTTCTCTACCATGGTGATGATGTTAATGCTTCCCTACCATGGTGATGATGTTAATGCTTCCCTACCATGGTGATGATGTTTAGTGCTTCCCTACCATGGTGATGATGTTAATGCTTCTCTACCATGGTGATGATGTTAATGCTTCCCTACCATGGTGATGATGTTAATGCTTTCCTACCATGGTGATGATGTTAAGTGCTTCCCTACCATGGTGATGATGTTAATGCTTTCCTACCATGGTGATGATGTTAAGTGCTTCCCTACCATGGTGATGATGTTAATGCTTCCCTACCATGGTGATGATGTTTAGTGCTTCCCTACCATGGTGATGATGTTAATGCTTCCCTACCATGGTGATGATGTTTAGTGCTTCCCTACCATGGTGATGATGTTAATGCTTCTCTACCATGGTGATGATGTTTAGTGCTTCCTTATCATGGTGATGATGTTTAGTGCTTCCCTACCATGGTGATGATGTTAAGTGCTTCCCTACCATGGTGTTGATGTGCTGCTCTACCTTAAAACCATGATTGGGTACCTTCCAACTATGGTAAGCTACTGCAGTTTGCAGACTCTTACTGGGGAGTGTGTCGTGAGTTTGTGGTTAAGTGTATGGTTGTGGTTGAGTGTATGGTTGTGGTAGTGAGTATGGTTGTGGTTAAGTGTATGGTTGTGGTTGAGTGTATGGTTGTGGTAGTGAGTATGGTTGTGGTGGGGTGTATTGTTGTGGTTAAGTGTATGGTTGTGGTTGAGTGTATGGTTGTGGTAGTGAGTATGGTTGTGGTGGGGTGTATGGTTGTGGTTGAGTGTATGGTTGTGGTTGAGTGTATGGTTGTGGTGGAGTGTATGGTTTTGGTTGAGTGTATGGTTGTGGTTGAGTGTATGGTTGTGGTGGAGTGTATGGTTTTGGTGGTGTGTATGGTTGTAGTGGTGTGTATGGTTTTGGTGGTACGTATGGTTGTGGCGGAGTGTATGGTTGTGGTGGAGTGTACGGTTGTAGTGGTGCGTATGGTTTTTGTTGAGTGTATGGTATTAGTGGTGTGTATGGTTGAGGTGGTGTGTATGATTGGGGTTAAGTACACGGTTGTGGTTGAGTGTATGGTTGTGGTGATGTGTATGGTTGTGGTTGAGTGTATGGTTTTGGTGGTGTGCATGGTTGAGGTTGAGTGTATGGTTGTGGTGGAGTGCATGGTTGCGGTTAAGTGTATTGTTGTGGTGTGTATGGTTGTTGTGGAGTGTATGGTTATGGTGGAGTGTATTGTTTTGGTTGAATGAATGGTCGTGGTGGTGAGTATGGTTGTGGTTGAGTGTATTGTTGCGGTGGAGTGTATGATTTTAGTAGTGTGAATGGTTGTGGTGGAGTGTATGGTTGTGGTGCAGTGTATGGTTGTGGTTGAGTGAATGGTTGTGGTGGAGTGTATGGTTGTGGTTGAGGGAATGGTTGCGGTTGAGTGAATAGTTGTGGTTGAGTGAATGGTTGTGGTTGAGTGAATAGTTGTGGTTGAGTGAATGGTTGTGGTTGAGTGAATGGTTGTGGTGGAGTGAATGGTTGTGGTGGAGTGTATGGTTGTGGTGGAGTGTATGGTTGTGCTGGAGTGTATGGTTGTGATGGAGTGTATGGTTGTGGTGGAGTGAATAACTGTGTTGGTGTGTATGGTTGTGGTTGAGTGAATGGTTGTGGTTGAGTGAATAGTTGTGGTTGAGTGTATGGTTGTGGTGGAGTGTATGGTTGTGGTGGAGTGTATGGTTGTGGCGGAGTGTATGGTTGTGGTTGAGTGTTTGGTTGTGGTGGAGTGTATGGTTTTGGTGGTGTGTATGGTTGTGGTTGAGTGTATGGTTGTGGTAGAGTGTATGGTTGTGGAGGTGTGTATGGTTGTGGTAGTGTGTGTAGTTGTGGTGGAGTGAATGGTTGTGGAGTGTATGGTTGTGGAGTGTATGGTTGTGGTAGTGTGTGTAGTTGTGGTGGAGTGAATGGTTGTGGAGTGTATGGTTGTGGAGTGTATGGTTGTGGTGGTGTATATGGTTGTGGTGGAGTGTAAGGTTGTGGTTGTGTGTATGGTTGTGGTGGAGTGTAAGGTTGTGGTTGTGTGTATGGTTGTGGTGGTGTGTATGGTTGTGCTTGAGTGAATGATTGTGGTTGAGTGTATGGTTGTGGTGGAGTGTATTTTTGTGGTTGAGTGTATGGTTGTGGTTGAGTGTATGGTTGTGGTGGTGTGTATGGTTGTGGTGATGGTGTGTATGGTTGTGGTGATGGGTGTGTATGGTTGTGGTGATGGTGTGTATGGTTGTGGTGGTGTGTATGGTTGTGCTTGAGTGAATGATTGTGGTTGAGTGTATGGTTGTGGTGGAGTGTATTTTTGTGGTTGAGTGTATGGTTGTGGAGTTTATGGTTGTGATGTGTATGGTTGTGGTAGAGTGTATGGTTGTGGTGGTGTGTATGGTTGTGGTAGAATGTATGATTGTGGTGGAGTGTATGGTTGTGGTGGAGTGTATGGTTGTGGTGGTGTGTATGGTTGTGGTAGAATGTATGATTGTGGTGGAGTGTATGGTTGTGGTGGAGTGTATGGTTGTGGTGGTGTGTATGGTTGTGGTAGAATATATGGTTGTGGTGGAGTATATGGTTGTGGTGGAGTGTATGGTTGTGGTGGAGTATATGGTTGTGGTGGAGTGTATGGTTGTGGTGGAGTGTATGGTTGTGGTGGTGTGTATGGTTGTGGTAGAATGTATGGTTGTGGTGGAGTATATGGTTGTGGTGGAGTGTATGGTTCTGGTGGAGTGTATGGTTGTGGTGGAGTGTATGGTTGTGGAAGAATGTATGGTTGTGGTGGAGTGTATGGTTCTGGTGGAGTGTATGGTTGTGGTAGAGGATATGGTTGTGGTGACGTGTATGGTTGTGGTGAAGTGTATGGTTGTGGTGGTGTGTATGGTTGTGGTGGAGTGTATGGTTGTGGTAGAGTGTATGGTTGTGGTGGTGTGCATGGTTGTGGTAGAGTGTATGGTTGTGGTGGAGTGTATGGTTGTGGTGGTGTGTATGGTTGTGGAAGTGTGTATGGTTGTGGTAGTGTGTATGGTTGTGGTGGAGTGTATGGTTGTGGTGGTTTGTATGGTTGTGGTAGAGTGTATGGTTGTGGTGATGTGTATGATTGTGGTAGAGTGTATGGTTGTTATGATGTGTATGGTCGTCGTCGTGTATATGGATGTGTTGTAGTGTCTTATGTCAAAAGAATAAAAGAAAGAGAGAGAGAGAGAGAGAGAGAGAGAGAGAGAGAGGAGAGAGAGAGAGAGAGAGAGAGAGGAGAGAGAGAGAGAGGAGAGGGAGAGAGAGAGAGAGAGAGAGAGAGAGAGAGAAGAGAGAGAGAGAGATGAGAGAGAGAGAGAGAGAGAGAGAGAGAGAGAGAGATGAGAGAGAGAGAGAGAGAGAGAGAGAGAGAGAGAGAGAGAGAGAGAGAGAGAGAGAGAGAGAGAGAGAGAGAGAGAGAGAGGAGAGAGAGAGAGAGAGAGAGAGAGAGAGAGAGAGAGAGAGAGAGAGAGAGAGAGAGAGAGAGAGAGAGAGAGAGAGAGAGAGAGAGAGAGAGAGAGAGAGAGAGAGAGAGAGAGAGAGAGAGAGAGAGAGAGATGAGAGAGAGAGAGAGAGAGAGAGAGAGAGAGAGACGATGGAGAGAGAGATGTGAAGGTCGTCTGGTGTACGTAGAGTGCTTCCCAAAAGTGACCGATGGACTGGTCAGTGTACGCATTCCAGACGACCTCCTCACCAACTCCTCCGGAATCAGAGCCCCTCACCCCCATCCCCCTCTGTCTCTTCTCTAAGATCCGTCTCCTCTACCCCCCTTCCTCATCAAACTCTCGCAATCTGCCACCTCTATCCTTCTAGGTAGTGAGCATGAAAGACAGAAATGCATTGAATTGAATTTGCAGTATGAAAGACAGGAATGTGCTGAGTTTGCAGTAAGAAGGACATAAATGCACTAAATATGCAGTATCAAGGACAGAAATACACTGAATTTGCACAATACAAAACAATAGTGAATTTGCCTTGAGATTGTTCCATCTAAAAATGCGCTTGATTGGCGGCAGTGAAGCTAGAAATGCACTGAAATAGCCTTCTATAGGCCTGAAGAACAGAAGATTGATAATTTACGAATCAGAAATGCATTTGCTTCACCCTGTGAAAGCCCAAAAATCAATGGATTAACCCCGTGCACGTCAGATATACGGTGCATTGGTTCTATGTAATCCTGAAATGTATTTGTGTAAGCTAAACATATAATGGGTTGGCCCCATGTAAGCCAAACATATAATGGGTTGGCCACATGTAAGCTAGACATGTAATGGGTTAAACCCAAGAGAAAGAGAATTGCAGTATCCTTACCACATCATGATCCCTTCATTATACACATGTCAAATGCGTTGTTAAGAAGCCTGTGTGGAGTAGGATCGGAGCAGCTTCGATCCCCGGTTAAGGTGTCTCGGGTTGTATGTGACGTCACAATCGGTATATAGTTGCTCTCGTACAAAAGAAATGTGTTTCGAATCGTTGTTCCAAGTTGCAAAACATCACAATATCTCATCACATTGTGAGTATATTTGTGGTACAGTTACGCTTCTCATTTACACGTTCGGGAATAGGCTGTCGAAGGTGCCTATAAGAGTGGAGTCGGGGGTGTGGGGGAGCTGGCCAGTCGCTAGCTTAAAATACATCTGTAGTCGTTGATGCCAAAATCAAGTTAATTGGTCTCCCAATTCAATGAGAGTTTAACTTTTAATTTGTCTTTTTAGTTTTCGGTATATTTGCAGGGCCAGCACATACCTTCCTGCAGCAGACTGGCGGCGCTGCTGGTAGGTACTGGCTCCTGCGGCGAGTCGTCGTTCTGAAACTTTCTCTTCTACAATTTCTTGAATCAACCATGCCGTCTCCCATTTATATATCTTTATGAAATATATCTGGACACCTTGCTTCGAGTTGGAAGTAGTTCGACACGTATCTTTCCGCTACGGCCAGTCCGGAAAAAACTTGGATTCTTCGGCAGAATTTCGCTCTTGAGCCACGGAGTCCGCGTTGGCTTGTGACGGCACGTATTCTCAGGCGCCGCTCTCGAAGTCTCTCTGAACACTCCTGAGGCCAGCCGACACGGCTACCCCTGATAAACACGACACTATGCTAGCCAGAATTAACCCGATTTGACCCCACAAAAAGCCAGATATACATTTAGTCCAATACTATTTTGCACAATTGATATATTTTATCCGATACATAAATTTTACATCGATTATTATATACGGCTGCATTGCCTCCATAAAACACACCTCGTGTACCTATGTAAATTCATAACTTTGTCACACATTAACTTTCCTAGATTACCAAAAATGTTAACTGCCTTTAAATATCGTAATAAATTCTTTTAGAGATAAACTCGTTCCTTATCACCTCCTTTACTTTACAAAGATGAGTTCTTTAAGGGCAAGTCTCCTCCTCGTCTTCGTTCTTGTACGTGACATACCTCACTGACGACTTCTCTCCGTATATCAAGTTCTGCCGGGCGGCACAAAACACATCATTAAGAAACTTATTACATATATATTGGATATTCTGTTATTATTAGGTAATTATTACTAGTTCCATTATTTATAGTCAATTATTATTGCCATATGGAGCATTATTATTGTTTTAGAGAGAGACTGTAAGAAAGAGTACGAGAGTGAAGAGCCAGACCTGGCGTTCGCCTGTCTTGGCGGGAGGCGACTTGAGGCAGTACATGAAGGGAGCGTACAGGAAGTTGATGATGGCCACTCCGTACAACATCCACTTGAACCCAAACGCCTGCACCAGAGTGCCGGAGAGTGCCGGTCCTGTTGGGGGTGGAGGCACTGACTGTTAGTGGAGGCACTGACTGTTAGTGGAGGCACTGACTGTTAGTGGAGGCACTGACTGTTAGTGGTGGGCACTGGCTGTTAGTGGTGGGCAGTGGCTGTTAGTGGTGGGCACTGGCTGTTAGTGGTGGGCACTGGCTGTTAGTGGTGGGCACTGGCTGTTAGTGGTGGGCACTGACTGTTAGTGGTGGGCACTGGCTGTTAGTGGGGGGCACTGGCTGTTAGTGAGGCACTGACTGTTAGTGGAGGCACTGACTGTTAGTGGAGGCACTGACTGTTAGTGGGGGCACTGACTGTTAGTAGAGGCACTGACTGTTAGTAGAGGCACTGACTGTTAGTAGAGGCACTGACTGTTAGTGGTGGCACTGACTGTTAGTGGAGGCACTGACTGTTAGTGGAAGCACTGACTGTTAGTGGTGGCACTGACTGTTAGTAGAGGCACTGACTGTTAGTGGTGGCACTGACTGTTAGTAGAGGCACTGACTGTTAGTGGTGGCACTGACTGTTAGTGGTGGCACTGACTGTTAGTGGAGGCACTGACTGTTAGTGGCGGCACTGACTGTTAGTAGAGGCACTGACTGTTAGTGGTGGCACTGACTGTTAGTAGAGGCACTGACTGTTAGTGGAGGCACTGACTGTTAGTGGAGGCACTGACTGTTAGTGGTGGCACTGACTGTTAGTAGAGGCACTGACTGTTAGTAGAGGCACTGACTGTTAGTAGAGGCACTGACTGTTAGTGGTGGCACTGACTGTTAGTGGTGGCACTGACTGTTAGTGGAGGCACTGACTGTTAGTGGTGGCACTGACTGTTAGTAGAGGCACTGACTGTTAGTAGAGGCACTGACTGTTAGTAGAGGCACTGACTGTTAGTAGAGGCACTGACTGTTAGTGGTGGCACTGACTGTTAGTGGTGGCACTGACTGTTAGTGGAGGCACTGACTGTTAGTGGGGGCACTGACTGTTAGTGGTGGCACTGACTGTTAGTGGAGGCACTGACTGTTAGTGGGGGCACTGACTGTTAGTGGGGGCACTGACTGTTAGTAGAGGCACTGACTGTTAGTGGAGGCACTGACTGTTAGTGGAGGCACTGACTGTTAGTGGGGGCACTGACTGTTAGTGGAGGCACTGACTGTTAGTGGAGGCACTGACTGTTAGTGGGGGCACTGACTGTTAGTGGGGGCACTGACTGTTAGTGGGGGCACTGACTGTTAGTGGGGGCACTGACTGTTAGTAGAGGCACTGACTGTTAGTAGAGGCACTGACTGCTAGTGGGGGGCACTGGCTGTTAGTGGGGGGCACTGGCTGTTAGTGGTGGCACTGACTGTTAGTGGGGGCACTGACTTTTAGTGGGGGCACTGACTGTTAGTGGGGGCACTGACTGTTAGTGGGGGCACTGTTAGTGGGGGCACTGACTGTTAGTGGGGGCACTGACTGTTAGTGGGGGCACTGGCTGTTAGTGGTGGCACTGACTGTTAGTGGGGGCACTGACTGTTAGTGGGGGCACTGACTGTTAGTAGAGGCACTGACTGTTAGTAGAGGCACTGACTGTTAGTGGAGGCACTGACTGTTAGTGGGGGCACTGACTGTTAGTGGAGGCACTGACTGTTAGTGGAGGCACTGACTGTTAGTGGTGGCACTGACTGTTAGTGGTGGCACTGACTGTTAGTGGAGGCACTGACTGTTATTGGAGGCACTGACTGTTAGTGGGACACTTGTTAGTAGAGATGTGTCAGTCAGCGGTGTAACTCAGTTAAGCTTTAACCAGTAACCACTCTGAGTGGCGGCATTGGACCTCATTAGGTCACACGTGATAGTTAACCTGCTTTTTCGTCTCTCTGTCTGCCTGTCAGTGTATTTGTCTATCTTTGTTGCTCTCTCTCTCTCACTACACAAAGAGCTCACCAATAGCAAAGCCGAGACAGAAGGCGACGTCGCCGATGGAGTAGACGGAGCCGTAGACGGCAGAGTGACGGAGGTCGACGAGGTAGCCTAACTCCGGCATCATTGACGAGTCGACCATGCCGATGGCGAAGCCCAGACCAGCGTTGGGGGCGATCAGGTGGTTGATGGTGGTGGCGCTGGGGATCTGTGGATTGGTGTGAGGGAGTTACTGCTGGGGGAGGGTGTTGGAGGGTGTTAGAACTTGGTGTGAGGGAGTTACTGCTGGGGGAGGGCGTTGGAGGGTCTTGGAGGGCGTTGGAGAGCGTTGGAACTTGATGTGAGGGAGTTACTGCTGGGGGGAGGGCGTTGGAGGGTCTTGGAGGGCGTTGGAGAGCGTTGGAACTTGATGTGAGGGAGTTACTGCTGGGGGGAGGGTGTTGGAGGGCCTTGGAGGGCGTTGGAGGGTGTTGGAACTTGATGTGAGGGAGTTACTGCTGGGGGGAGGGTGTTGGAGGGCCTTGGAGGGCGTTGGAGGGTGTTGGAACTTGATGTGAGGGAGTTACTGCTGGGGGGAGGGTGTTGGAGGGCCTTGGAGGGCGTTGGAGGGTGTTAGAACTTGGTGTGAGGGAGTTACTGCTGGGGGAGAGGGCGTTGGGTTAGGTTACACTCATGAGTACACAGACACAGACAACACCTACACATTTAATGGAGTTAAATACACTCTTATGAAACATCACAAACGTTAATGAGGAACCAAACCCACTCACATGAGAGCTTAACACACGTCACAGGGCCAGAACCGCTTACATGATCCACAACATACATTTATGAGACAACGGGGGCACTCACACTCATGAGACAGATTCCGATGATAACGAGGCCGATGAGGGAGGCGAGCCACCTGCCCATCAGGTGGCCGAGAGGGCCGAAGAGGTTTGTGCCGATCAGGTAGGAGATCGAGGCTGGAATGAAGGCCGCTCCGAGCTGCCACTCAGGTGCATCCATCGTGTCCATCATCCAGAGAGGAAGAGATGGCTCCAGCATCCCTATACCCATGTTGGCGAAGGTGATCGCTCCTGGGGGAGAGGGGGGGAGAACGTGAGTGTTGGTGATGGTTCCTGGGGGGAGGGAAGGTGAGTCTTGGTGATGTGATGGCTCCTGGGGGAGGGAAGGTGAGTCTTGGTGATGGTGATGGCTCCTGGGGGGGAGGGAAGGTGAGTCTTGGTGATGGTGATGGCTCCTGGGGGGGAGGGAAGGTGAGTCTTGGTGATGGTGATGGCTCCTGTGGCAGGAGGGAAGGTGAGCCTTGGTGATGGTGATGGCTCCTGTGGCAGGAGGGAAGGTGAGCCTTGGTGATAGTGATGGCTCCTGTGGCAGGAGGGAAGGTGAGCCTTGGTGATGGCTCCTGTGGCAGGAGGGAAGGTGAGCCTTGGTGATGGTGAAGGCTCCTGTGGCAGGAGGGAAGGTGAGCCTTGGTGATGGTGATGGCTCCTGTGGCAGGAGGGAAGGTGAGCCTTGGTGATGGTGAAGGCTCCTGTGGCAGGAGGGAAGGTGAGCCTTGGTGATGGTGAAGGCTCCTGTGGCAGGAGGGAAGGTGAGCCTTGGTGATGGTGATGGCTCCTGTGGCAGGAGGGAAGGTGAGCCTTGGTGATGGTGATGGCTCCTGTGGCAGGAGGGAAGGTGAGCCTTGGTGATGGTGAAGGCTCCTGTGGCAGGAGGGAAGGTGAGCCTTGGTGATGGCTCCTGTGGGGGGGGGGAGGGAAAGTGAATGATGATGATAGTTATTGTGGGACAATGGTAGAGAACAATATATACTTCAAATATATGTGAAAAGTTCACCTATCACATATCCAGTGTTGCACATATCGGTGGAACACAGGATACACTGAGGAACAGTGTATCACTGCCCAACCATGTACCTGGACACCACTTCAACCAAAAATTCAACATTTAGTTTAGTTTTACCATTAAATTTTCGGGCATTTGTTTTACTAGAAAATAGTTTTGCTGTGGTAGAAAACGGTGTCCTAAAAATAAAGGACCAATGGCATGTTTTAAATGGGGGGTTTTCTGGAAAATCACAAAATGTGGATTTTTACAGAAAAGTCACACATGTGGGCTAAGTATAGGCACATAGAGATGACAAAATAAATTGTTACACTATGTTGGATTATTTCAGGCATCCGAAGGATTCATATAACCTTTTATATGAAACAGATGCGACATATGAATCATGAACCTTTTACTTATGTTTTAATCAAGGACAATTTTCATGATAAAATATGCATGCAAAACTGTAAATATACTTTTAAGTAATTATTTTTGTCTTCATGTATACAAAAGAAACATATGTGGCTACATAGAAAATACAGCAGTTCAGCATATAGTGCACGTAAAAAACATATATCTCAATAATAAACAGTTCTTTCTTTGTAAGAACGCCTTTAACATGTTGCTAGTGACTGTCTTCCTCAACCTCTGTACCCAGAGCGTCAGAAGTGTTCACCATCCTGTGTGGTGTCACCTCAGTGTTCACCATCCTGAGTGGTGTCACCTCAGTGTTCACCATCCTGTGTGGTGTCACCTCAGTGTTCACCATCCTGAGTGGTGTCACCTTAGTGTTCACCATCCTGAGTGGTGTCACCTCAGTGTTCACCATCCTGAGTGGTGTCACCTTAGTGTACACCACAAGCACATAGGTTTGTATACGGTAAAGTTTCACTGAGGCAGCTACACCTCCCAGTCGTGTGTCCTTTTTCTTATAAGCACTTTATCGCTGCAGGATAGATGGTGGTGGTGGTGAGGGGAAGAAGGTACCATGTGCGTGACAGCCTCCGCTCTCCCTGCTTCCACCCACAGTTGGTTGGGGATGAAAAGTGTGGGTGTGAAGCATCCAGCATGAACCCATATCATGGTCACTCTTGATATGTGTTGTATAAGTGCTACACGCGCTGGAGGTGGTTGGGCTCTTCTGCATACTTCTGTGAAGATATGTACCAGCGAAGTTCTGTCACTTTTGTGTGTACTCTCCTTGTACTGTGGAGTTTGCATACAAATTCCTCCAAAGCTTTCACAGTTTAATCACTCGGAACATTTTCTTGCCTTCCAAGTGACCCGAAGACATGAAGAACATGAATATCAGAGGCGAAAATTTTTAAGATGGATGAAGTTTTTGTTTTGCCGGAAAATTTTGTCGTTTGCTTGGGTCTTATCCTCGCCAAGCGCCTAATGAAGTGGCCCACTGAGATAGGACGTCTTGAAGAACTCTGCCCTGTCAGAAACCATGTAGCTGGGCACAATCGTGGGTACCCATGTAGCTGGGCACAACCGTGGGTACCCATGTAGCTGGGCACAACCGTGGGTACCCATGTAGCTGGGCACAACCGTGGGTACCCATGTAGCTGGGCACAACCGTGGGTACCCATGTAGCTGGCACAACCGTGGGTACCCATGTAGCTGAGCACAACCGTGGGTACCCATGTAGCTGGGCACAACCGTGGGTACCCATGTAGCTGGGCACAACCGTGGGTACCCATGTAGCTGAGCACAACCGTGGGTACCCACTGGGCACACCGTGGGTACCCATGTAGCTGGGCACAACCGTGGGTACCCATGTAGCTGGGTGGGTACCCATGTAGCTGAACAACCGTGGGTACCCATGTAGCTGGGCACAACCGTGGTACGTAGGGGCACAACCGTGGGTACCCATGTAGGTACCCATGTAGCTACAAGCAGTAAGAGGGGTACATCAGTGTCCCATGTAGCTGGGCACAACATATGTCAAGTGGGCACAACCGTGGGTACCCATGTAGCTGGGCACAACCGTGGGTACCCATGTAGGTACCCATGCACAAGCAGTAAGAGGACATCAGTGTCCCGTGAACATATGTCAAGTACTGCTGATGTGGAGTTGTTACTGACATCAGTGGCATGAAAGATGGTGAGAGTGTCAGTCTCTTCGTGGCTGCTTGTGTGAAGACTTTCTGCAAGTCTACCACGGCTGGTCTGTGCTGCAGTGCCTTACACCACTACGAAATCTGTCTCGGTGTTTAGTGAGAAATACAGAAGATACTTCTCTGCCAGATAATATGTCACTTCTGCCTTTGTTTTTGTGAGACAGAAACTGCTTCATTGGAGTGTTTGTGAGAATTGTGCTCTCATGTACATGATACTGATTCTCATCACCTCTGAGCGCTTATCTCGCATCTTCCCTTTCAAGGATCCTTGAATATATTGATCAAAGATCATTCTGACTTTATAGCTAGTTGTTGCTTCAACCAGACTTGCAACAAAGGCATCTGCAAAATCCTTGCAGATCTTCATCTTGTCAGTTTTCGCATGGAATTCTACCAGTATCATAACATTCCAAATGACAATCCTTTTTTCTGGTTTTTAGTCAGAGCATCAACAGCAGTTTAACCTGCAGTGTCTTGAAGCCCTTTGGGGACCCCTTTGGAGCCCTTTGGGATCAAAAGGGCTGAACATGGCCAGATAGAGATAGTCAGTAGCTTTTCAAAAGATGATGTTTGAAGATTCATACTTTTTGGGCCATTGTAGTTTGCTTGTCATATAATGCAAAGACGAAAATTTATGTCACATTGTTTCTTTTTTTTATGGCTGGCTGTCTTGAAGCTCCATTGTGGTCTTTTTCTTGCTTGGTTCTGTAACCCTGTAACACATAATAGCAATGTAGACCTAACCGTCACACTAAATCACTTCATGCGAATGGTATATTACACAATTAGTGGAAAGAGAATATCATAGAGGAAGTACAAAAGATTTGTAATAAGTGAACTACAAGTACGCATCCAACAACTACAGTATTGTATCCCACACTGATGTATACACTGTAACAAAGAATACACATCCGGGACTGGACTCTGAATGGAACAATTGTTGAAGTAAAGAAAAAAAGGAAAGCAAATAACACTGCTGAAAAATTATAGACATTAACCTTTTGGCTGCAATCTTATTCTCGACCAGTGTTGTGAGTGGATTAGTAAGAAATATCCTACCAGAGTGTCTAGGAAACGCCATTGGGATTCATTGATTCCAAATTCACTGAAGGAGTCAGCCAGTGGGACACTCTTGCAAGCTCTCAACTGCGACCAACTTTTCCAAACGATTGTAAACAAGTCAAATGGAACAACACATAGTGGAGAACATTGCCTCAGGAATGCCGGAGGAAGCTTCTAGGAAGGACGAAGCACACCTCCTCGCTGTACAAGCCTCCCCATGCTGGGAACTTCCTGTTGGCTATTCCTAATTCCGCCTTGGGCACCCGTCTAGATCGGTGTTGCCCTGCGCCTTGCCGCTCCTGCCTCCACCAAACACTGATGTATCTGCGTCAGCAGACCAATACGGCAGCCATGGTCTCATCTGTCGTAAGTCCCAGGGAAAGATTGCAATGACATCAGCTGGCTGTCCAGTACAAAGGGAACTTCAGTGGTGCAGACCTGACAACAGCCAAAAGCGCCCAGATGGAGTCACCCTGCAGCCATGGAGGGAAGGTAAACAGGTCGTGTGGGACTACACGTGAGCGTCTACATTGGCTGATACCTATCTACCTTACAGCACAGTTGAAGGAGGTAGGGCAGCCACCTTCAGGGAGACCCAGAAAACTAATAAGGACAGGATCCTAGGACGTTGTTACAGGTTCGTGCCAACAGGCTCAGAGACTCTGGGCACCTGGGGTAAATGTGCACTTAAGTTCCTAAAGGAGGTGGGCGAGGAACTCATTAGGCAAACTAGAGACTCAAGAACAGCCAGTTTCCTGTTACAGCGCCTCAGTGTCGTCATCTAGAGAGGAAATGCTTGCTGTATCTAGGGCACGCATCCCACCGCTGATGATCAAAATGAGGTCTGTGAACAACAACTGCTCTGTGTGCTAACCTTTTGTATATACAATACGCTGGACAATGGAGATCTTTATGGAAACCATTGACAACCTTATATTTATTTCAGAATACAAATGCATTTGACAAGCTCATACATACTTATAATAACTATTTGGTGGAAAGACTACGGGGTCACCATAGCCCGTGCTACTTGGAACTTCATGTTCCAGGTAGCGAATCTTTAACAACAACAAATTGGTGGAAAGTACCAATACTCCCATTGTTTACATTGTCTCAAAGACAAGTAGAAACAATTAAAAGGTTAAAACTAAGCAACCACTTATCTTTCAACCAATCACAATGAAAATCAACACAGTGACACGCAGGCATCTAAATTAACACATGTCAGAAAAATATTACGAAACCAAAACATAAGAGCAACTATGCAGAGCTCTTGAACATCGGGAAGGATATAATGCAGCTGTCGGGACATATTGTTACCTATTAAGACATAACACTAGGTATAATTACTAGCAATCTAGGCGATGGCTATTAATATACACTAATCTGGCTTGAAGAAGCACTCACCGGCTGCAATGATGATGTAGGGGTCACTAACTAGTTCTCCGAGTGTTGGTGCCTCTTCCTCCTGCTTCACTACCGCCGGCTGAAGCACTAACAGTTGCAGCACTGAGGACAACAACAGAATATGTTACAAACTTCACAAGTCAGATGTTACTATTTTCACAAGTCATATGTATGTTAAAATTTGTACACGTCAGATGCATGTTACAATCTTCACGTCATATGTTGTGTATGTTATATTTCTCACAAGTCAGTTGTATGTTATAATTTTCACAAGGTTGATATATGTTATAATTTTTACAGGTCAAATGTATTTGTTAAAATTATGACAATTAATGGCATGCTTGACTGAAGACTACAAGGTAGATATTACGCATATTATAAGTTTGATGTATTTACGACAGTTATGGCAACTGTCGGGGCTCTAGACAGCACCCTGCAGATTTGCTTTCTTTCTGTACGTCAAAAGTAAAAAAAATATTTTATTCATTACATTATTTATTTAGCAATTTTAAAACACACTTCAAAAATTCTGAATCAGTCGAAAAGATACAAAATTAAAATCAAGACAATGAGTGGGAGTGAAATACTATACACATAAAATATGAAACAATGACAAAATAACATATTATTCACAAATTGTGTATGGGAAAACATTATACAAGTATGTGAAAGATCTAGTGTAGAATACAACCTAACGTGTGGAAGTTGCTTTTAACTCACAAGACTCATTTTATCGAGATCCCAAACATAAATTACTCGCCAGATTCCCATAAAGTATTACGAACGGCATTTGAGATATATTGTATTATATCCTCGCACTGAGAAAACTCACATTAACGTGATGAATCAATGAGAAAATCAATAGGAGCCATGATGAGGATTCGAACCTATGCTCTGGGATACGCCAAAGCATAGGCCTTAGACAAGCAGGCCACGACATGGTCAAAATGATTCCAACCTGGAATTCTACTGAAGCCACGAGGGTTTCTGAGGCTTCCACTGAAGCCGAAGTACCCAGAGCATAGAATCGAATCCTCATCACGGCCTCTACTGATTTTCTCATATTATATCCTCACTTGTAATTTTTCTCTGATGCTTCAGGAGACCTGGAAATCAGGACAAATGACATTATGGTTGGATTTGGTCATACTGATATCTAATCGAAAGTAATTTAACAATGCTTAAGCAATGGGACCACGTGAGTAACATCAAATGTTACTCACGTGGTCCCAGCATGAGAGGTAATTCGATGAAATATCTGTGCTTAAAAAAGATCACCGAGAGCTGTCGGGAATTGGGTTAAGGGTCAGACAACTTCCATTTCTTTTGAACAGTCAGTGTGGCCTAGTGGTTGAAGTACTGGACATGCTAAGGTGCATGGAACCTGGGCTGTCTGGGTTTGATGACTCAAACAGTCATGATGACTAATATTACAGGGGTGAGGAATATATATATATATATATATATATATATATATATATATATATATATATATGTCGTACCTAGTACCAGAACTCACTTCTCAGCCTACTATTCAAGGCCTGATTTGCCTAATAAGCCAAGTTTTCCTGAATTAATATATTTACTATATTTTTTTCTTATGAAATGATAAAGCAACCCCTTTTCTCTATGTATGAGGGAGTTAAAATTAACGTAGATATATGACCGAACCTAACCAACCCTACCTAACCTAACCTAACCTATATTTATAGGTAAGGTTAGGTTAGGTAGCCAAAAAAGCTAGGTTAGGTTAGGTTAGGTAGGTTAGGTATCGAAAAAACATAATTCATGAAAACTTGGCTTATTAGGCAAATCGGGCCTTGAATATAGGCTGATGAGTTCTGGCTACTAGGTACGACATATATATATATATATATATATATATATATATATATATATATATATATATATATATATATATATATATATATATATATATATCAGTAGCAGCCCTAATATGACCGAAAGGGTAAGATTATTGAATCTAACACGAATCTTTTCAATATTTCTCATATTTTTCTTCACAATAAAGAAAAACATAAGATGGGGTAAATGGGACTCGACAGCCTGGGAAGGCAACTCGGCTTGTGGAAGGCAAACCCTGACTTCAAAGCTCCGCTGCCTCGCGGCCATGCCCACTTTTAGGTAAGGCTTCAGGAGGCTTCCTCGAGGAAAATCCGGAGTTGGAGCCCTTAGCTAAGGCAGTTCGTTGTTGACTTCAGCCTCGTTCTGGCAGTTCCTGCGACGGCGCTGGAACTATGGGTATTGGCGTTTGCCTTTCCATTGGAAAATTTCAGCAACGTGGAGAAGGGGGACCTGCTGTATGGGCAACAGCTTCTCTTCTATGTCGACCTACCCAGACTTTGCACCCTGGAACGGACACTAATCTCGCCTTACAGCGTCGAACCAACACGGGAAGCGACAGTCTACCGGTTATAAGTCTTCTGCTCAATTGGCGAAGAATGTGACGCCAGGGGTTGCTTCCGACGATGGGAGGGGTCATCGCGCCCCACTGGGCAGCTACCGCCCACCTCAAGCTGGGCAAATCTCAGCCAGTAAGGTGTTGCCTCGCCACGGTCCGTTAACCTCACTGGGTGCGTGGGGGTTTAGGGTGAACCGACAAGCGGCCCAACAACTTTGCACCAAGCATATCAGATCCAGAAAGAAAATATCAACTCCCCTAAAGCCGAGCACATGGAACGTCATGCCCATGACACCAGGTTTCTCTGACGACCTGCAAGAAATCAACGACGTCTGTAAAACCGCAATCATCGATAGGGAGCTGAGCAAACTGCAGATGGATATTGTTGCTCTCCAAGAGACCAGGCTCCCTGGATCAGGAAATGTGAGAGAGAGGGCCTTCTCTTTTCCATGGCAAGGAAAACCTCTAGATGAGACCAGAGAACACAGTGTAGGATTTGCTGTCAGGAATGCATTATTGGGATACATCATAGCACCGACGGGGAGAACCGAACGAATTTTGTCTCTCCAGTTGCATTCCCGAACAGGACCAGTCAGTGTAATTAGAGCACTTGCACCAACCTTGACTTCTTCAGCTGAGGCGAAAGAAAAATTCTACGATGACCTCAACAGAGTCATAGCGAGAATCCCTGTAAAGAAGCCACTGTTCATCCCCGGCGACTTCAACGCCAGAGTGGGTGCCGATCACAACTGTTGGCCCACCTGTCTGGGTCAATTCGGCATAGGGAGGATGAACGTGGACAGGCAACGTCTAATAGAACTCTGCTGCCTTTATGGTCTCTGTGTCACCAACACGTTCTTCGGCACAAAGCCTCAACACCGAGTTTCCTGGAGACACTCAAGATCAAAGCACTGGCACCAGCTTGACCTGATTATTAACAGGTGCACAAGTCTACCCAGCGTCAGGATTGCGCATAGCTACTAGAGTGCTGCCTGTGACACCGACCACTCCTTGGTATGCAGTAAGGTCAAAATGCAAACAAAGAAGATTCACCGCTTGAAAAAGGAGGGCAGACTTTGCATTGACACCAGCAACACCCGCAACCAAGACAAGGTGGAAGATTTTGCATGTGCGCTCGAGGAAGCTCTCCCTGGCCCAGCCGGGGTCACCGCCTGTAAAAGATGGGAGGACGCCAGAGATTCTCTATTCAATGCTGCCTGTGTTAAAGAAGCTCGACAGCAAACCGACCCTCGAAGAACTCAGCGAGGCCCTAGACTCCCTTGTTTCTGGCAAAGCTCCTGGCAATGACGGCATTCCTACCGAGGCCTTGAAGTGCTGTAATGGTAACTTACACTGCCTCTGCCTGTGCTGGAAAGAAGGAGAGGTGCCACAGGACATGAGGGACGTCAATATCGTCACACTGTACAAAATAAAGGTGACAGGGGTGACTGCAACGATTACTGCGGCATCTCCCTCCTCAGCATTGTCGGAAAGCTGTTTGCTCGAGTCACATTGAAGAGGCTCCAAATACTTGCGGAGAGAGTCTACCCAAAATCATAGTACGGACTGGGAGCAAACAGGTCTACCATCGACATGGTCTTTTCCCTCAGACAACTGCAGGAGAAATGAAGGGAACAGAAGCAGCCACTCTTCGTAGCATTCACAAATCTGACCAAAGGCCTTTGACCTCGTCAGTAGGGATGGCCTGTTCAAGATCCTCCCCAAGATCGGATGCCCACTCAGGCTCTTCAGCATCACCAGATCTTTCCACGAGAACATGAAGGCCACCGTTTTCTTTGACGGCTCAACATCAGACGCCTTCCAATATCCGAAGCGGAGTAATGCAAGGCTGCGCACTGGCTTCAAACCTATTTGGATTTTTTCTTTTCACAGTTATGCTGCATCACGCCATCGGATCTGCCACAGAAGGCATCTACCTCTGAACCAGGTCGGACGGAAAGCTCTTTAACCTTGCCAGGCTGAGAGGCAAGTCAAAGGTTCAGCTGAGGTGTCTGCGCGACTTCCTTTTTGCCGACGACGCAGCAGTCACCGCAACTCAGCTGAAGACCTCCAATGGCTCATGACCCGCTTCAGCGAGGCCTGTCAGGCCTTTGGACTCACCATCAGCCTGAAGAAAAAACAGGTCATGGGACAAGGAGTGGACTCCCCACCTGACATCGGCATCTCTGATTACAAGCTGGAAGTCGTTCACGACTTCGTGTACCTGGGCTCCACAATCTCTGACTCCCTCTCTCTTGATACGGAGCTAAACAAACGCATCGGTAAGGCATCTACTACCATGTCCAGACTGACAAAGAGAGCGTGGGCCAACAATAAGCTGACTGAGTATACAAAGATCCAGGTTTACAAAGCCTGCTTTCGAGCACTCTTCTATATGGCAGAGTCCTAGACACTGTTTAGCCATCAGGTAAGAAAGCTGAACGCCTATCACATGGGTTGCCTCCGACACATCTTGGACATCACCTGGCAGGACAAGGTGACAAACAGCAGCAGCCTGGGGAGAGCTAGAATTGCCAGCATATACACAATGCTGAAGCAGAGACGAATGCGCTGGCTCGGGCACGTGGTGCGAATGGTGACGGCAGGATTCCCAAGGGTCTCCTGTATGAAGAACTGACGCAGGGAAAGCGTCCAACAGGCAAGCCCCAGCTACTGTACAAAAACGTATGCAAGAGGGACCTGAAAGCCATGGACGCGATCTTATGACGTAGGAAACACTGGTCGTAGACCGATCAGCCTGGGGGGCAGTCTGTTCAGAAAGGTCTCTCCAGGGTCGAGAAGACGCTTGTCAGGCATTTGGAGGCAAAGAGACAGAGAAGGAAAGCCGGTAGCCAGGAAGACAGACTAGAATCAGACTTCACTTGTGCTCAGTGTGGGATGGACTGCCATTCTGGGATTGGCCTCATCAGTCACACCAGACGCTGCACCAGGACTGACAACCAAGGCGCAACTCTGCAACTAAAGGATGTTCCTGAGACTATCTTGAGATGACTTCAGGGCTTAGCGTCCCCACGGCCCGGTCCTCGACCAGGTCTGGTTTTTTGTTACATACCCCCAGGAAGCAGCCCGTAACAGCTAACTACCAGGTACCTATTTACTTCTAGGTGAACAGGAGCAACAGGGTGAAATAAACTCTGCCCATTTGTTTCCGCGTCCGCCGGGGATTGAATCTGGTATCAGAAGACTACAAATCCAAAGCGCTGTCCACTCAGCTGTCAAGCCCCAAGCTGTATGTTACTCACTTTATGACAAATATATTAGTGACTTAGACTACTGTACACCTGTTTAGTCCAGACATTTTTATAATGATTTGTCCAAGATGTTACGAACAAAATTTATAAATTGTGAATGTCGCGACCACAACCTAACTTCATTATCCAACACCTGTAAGCCCCCAACATAACAGTATCCAACACCTGTAAGCCCTCAACATAACAATATCCAACACCTGTAAGCCCTCAACATAACAATATCCAACACCTGTAAGCCTCAACATAACAATATCGAACACCTGTAAGCCCTCAACATAACAGTATCCAACACCTGTAAGCCCCCAACATAACAGTATCCAACACCTGTAAGCCCCCAACATAACAGTATCCAACACCTGTAAGCCCCCAACATAACAGTATCCAACACCTGTAAGCCCCCAACATAACAGTATCCAACACCTGTAAGCCCCCAACATAACAGTATCCAACACCTGTAAGCCCCCAACATAACAGTATCCAACACCTGTAAGCCCCCAACATAACAGTATCCAACACCTGTAAGCCCCCAACATAACAGTATCCAACACCTGTAAGCCCCCAACATAACAGTATCCAACACCTGTAAGCCCCCAACATAACAGTATCCAACACCTGTAAGCCCCCAACATAACAGTATCCAACACCTGTAAGCCCCCAACATAACAGTATCCAACACCTGTAAGCCCCCAACATAACAGTATCCAACACCTGTAAGCCCTCAACATAACAGTATCCAACACCTGTAAGCCCCCAACATAACAGTATCCAACACCTGTAAGCCCCAACATAACAGTATCCAACACCTGTAAGCCCTCAACATAACAGTATCCAACACCTGTAAGCCCCCAACATAACAGTATCCAACACCTGTAAGCCCTCAACATAACAGTATCCAACACCTGTAAGCCCCCAACATAACAGTATCCAACACCTGTAAGCCCCCAACATAACAGTATCCAACACACGACGTTCAAGAAGCTTACGAAGCAACAAACATCTGTTAACACTTTCATCTGAAGAAGATACTTACGTCCGTCTCCAAGGGCCAACACCGCCAAGATGAGGAATGGGGCCGTCTTACCCACGAACTGGAACATAACCCCACCAAAAGGGGGGCCGATGAGTACCCCAAGGGCCAGGCCTCCCAGGGCTATACCCATGGCGTTGCCACGCTCCTTGTCGTCTGGGTATCGTTCCGCCAGCATGCCCATACCTGCAAGGGAGCGGTGTCTAGCGTCACTGTGTTGGGACGGGCGGCACTGATTGTCGATCTTTCCATTAAACATCTTTTTAAGTAGGATAGTGCCTGGGTTTAATACATTTTTACGATCACTATTACATCTAATATTAAATCTAACTTTATTATAGGTAATAAGAATAATTCTAATATTTATTAGTTAACTAACAAATACTACCATAATAATGCTGTAAATAAAACAATTACTCCAGCTGCCACTACTTATATCACGTGTGGCAATAATTAACCATAATAAAACTAATATAATAGATAATTTATAAACACTTTCAATATTCTAAAGTATTTGCATTCACTAGTCAGGCTGAATATTTGCTAAATTCGAGACACTGTTTTATTTGCGCTAACCTGAGGACGTTCTGGCAGTATTGTATATTCTCTGTCAGCCTGACATGTGCAACAATGTCAGCCCTGCACACGCTCGCTGTTGAACTTGCATGTGCAATACGTAATGTTCAAAAGAATTTCTGCAACTGTTGGGTTGTGTAAAGACTGAATAAGGTTTTATGTAACTATAAAATATGACTAAACTCAATAACTTAATAGACACGACTGTAGCCACTTACCAGACACGACTGTAGCCACTTACCAGACACGACTGTAGCCACTTACCAGACACGACTGTAGCCACTTACCAGACACGACTGTAGCCACTTACCAGACACGACTGTAGCCACTTACCAGACACGACTGTAGCCACTTACCAGACACGACTGTAGCTACTTACCATACACGACTGTAGCCACTTACCAGACACGACTGTAGCCACTTACCAGACACGACTGTAGCCACTTACCAGACATGACTGTAGCCACTTGCCAGACATGACTGTAGCCACTTACCAGACACGACTGTAGACACTTACCAGACACGACTGTAGCCACTTACCAGACACGACTGTAGCCACTTACCAGACACGACTGTAGCCACTTACCAGACACGACTGTAGCCACTTACCAGACACGACTGTAGCCACTTACCAGACACGACTGTAGCCACTTACCAGACACGACTGTAGCCACTTACCAGACACGACTGTAGCCACTTACCAGACACGACTGTAGCCACTTACCAGACACGGCTGTAGCCACTTACCAGACACGACTGTAGCCACTTACCAGACACGACTGTAGCCACTTACCAGACACGACTGTAGCCACTTACCAGACATGACTGTAGCCACTTACCAGACACGACTGTAGCCACTTACCAGACACGACTGTAGCCACTTACCAGACACGACTGTAGCCACTTACCAGACATGACTGTAGCCGCTTACCAGACACGACTGTAGCCACTTACCAGACATGACTGTAGCCACTTACCAGACATGACTGTAGCCACTTACCAGACATGACTGTAGCCACTTACCAGACATGACTGTAGCCACTTACCAGACATGACTGTAGCCACTTACCAGACATGACTGTAGCCACTTACCAGACACGACTGTAGCCACTTACCAGACATGACTGTAGCCGCTGACACGACTGTAGCCACTTACCAGACATGACTGTAGCCACTTACCAGACATGACTGTAGCCACTTACCAGACATGACTGTACTTACCAGACATGACTGTAGCCACTTACCAGACATGACTGTAGCCACTTACCAGACACGACTGTAGCCACTTACCAGACACGACTGTAGCCACTTACCAGACACGACTGTAGCCACTTACCAGACACGACTGTAGCCACTTACCAGACACGACTGTAGCCACTTACCAGACACGACTGTAGCCACTTACCAGACACGACTGTAGCCACTTACCAGACATGACTGTAGCCACTTACCAGACACGGAGGAACAGGAGGAACCGATGCCTTGGACCGCTCGAGCGATGAACAGGACGAAGTAACTGCTGCCGAAAGCGAAGACTGTGGGAGAGAGTGTGGGAGACGGGTGAGTGTGGGAGACGGGTGAGTGTGGGAGACGGGTGAGTGTGGGAGACGGGTGAGTGTGGGAGACGGGTGAGTGTGGGACATGGGTGAGTGTGGGACATGGGTGAGTGTGGGAGACGGGTGAGTGTGGGAGACGGGTGAGTGTGGGATGTGGGTGAGTGTGGGATATGGGTGAGTGTGGGACATGGGTGAGTGTGGGATATGGGTGAGTGTGGGATATGGGTGAGTGTGGGACATGGGTGAGTGTGGGATATGGGTGAGTGTGGGATATGGGTGAGTGTGGGTGACGGGTGAGTGTGGGAGACGGGTGAGTGTGGGAGACGGGTGAGTGTGGAAGTCGGGTGAGTGTGGGAGGTGGGTGAGTGTGGGAGACGGGTGAGTGTGGGAGACGGGTGAGTGTGGGAGACGGGTGAGTGTGGGAGACGGGTGAGTGTGGGAGACGGGTGAGTGTGGGAGATGGATGAGTGTGGATGCTATAAGAACCACGACCTCACTATTTAATGACTAAAAAATAGACATTATTTTCAGAAAGTTGAACACTATTTTGTATATAAAGTCTTTTCGTATCCGATACGAGTGTCCATAATTCACATCTATGAATCTGAAATTCTGTCTGAAAATTCGGCCAAAGGCTAGTGGATAGCAACACACAACTTTTCATGTTGTGTTGAAAGTAACTGCATGGTGTGTGTGTGTGTTACAAAGTAGTTTGGGTTGGCTGCTCATGCCCCCCCTTCCCTTTAAGTAGAATTGACTCCTATTGCGCCAACCAACTTCTACTTGGAATTCTGAAATGTGGGTTTGATTGTCCATAGAGTGTTTACCTGCAGATATTATTGACGTTGAATCGACGCAATAAATTATTTCAAGATCATTCGAGCACATTTTGCCCACTGGAAGAGAGAACAGGAAAGATAAAGGGAGAATGGAAGAGAGGAAGAATGGAAGACAGGGAAGGATTATGGAAGAGAGAGAGAGAGAGAGAGAGAGAGAGAGAGAGAGAGAGAGAGAGAGAGAGAGAGAGAGAGAGAGAGAGAGAGAGAGAGAGAGAGAGAGAGAGAGAGAGAGAGAGAGAGAGAGAGAGAGTGTGAGTGAGTGAGTGAGAGAGAGAGACCGGGCCGATCCGGCCACAGAGGGCCTTTTGCTGTCCATTTGAACCAGCCTACGAGTCGAGCTTCCAAAAATCTACGATAGACTGGTAGATCTGTAACTGGTAGATAGATGCCTTAGCATAACTCACAAGAACAGAGAGCCAATGAAGGGGTCGCAGCTGAGAGCAAGACGAGGAACCCCTGAGCGAACAATATACTTTCTCTTTCCCCTTTTCCGCTTTCTCTTCTGTTCTATTCTTCTTCTCTTCCTGTTTCCCGTCTTCTCTCTCCCATTTTCTGTGACTGAGACAGGTGACCCGGGGCGAAGTCGCCCTAATGGCGTTATATCATGAGGGCTATTGTCAGGTAACGGTCTCCAACCACCTTGTTAACGGAGCGCGACCAGTGTTACGGAACTAACAGTGTGAAGGGCAACTATCTCTGTTAAGGGGGAACGGTTGGCAGGCCAGGCGACTAAACGGGTGGAGGGGGGGGGGGGGGGGGGGATGGGGGGGGGGGGGGGGGGGGGGGGGAGCCGGTTTAAAATCTAAATAATACTGAACTTTGATCCTAAATTTGGGTGGAGGGGTGAGTGGAGGGTGGGTGGAGGGGTGGGTGGAGGGGTGGGTGGAGGGTGGATGGGTGGAGGGTGGGTGGAGTGGGTGGAGGGTGGGGAGGAGTGGAGGAGTGGGGGAGGGTGGGGGAGGGTGGGTGGAGGAGTGGGTAGAGGAGTAGGTGGAGGAGTGGGTGGAGGGGTGGGTGGAGGGGTGGGTGGAGGAGTGGGTGGAGGGGTGGGTGGAGGGGTGGGTGGAGGAGTGGGTGGAGGGTGGGTGGAGGGTGGGTGGAGGGGGGGGGGGGAGGGTGGAGGAGTGGGTAGAGGAGTAGGTGGAAGAGTGGGTGGAGGGGTGGGTGGAGGGGTGGGTGGAGGGGTGGGTGGAGGAGTGGGTGGAGGGTGGGTGGAGGAGTGGGTGGAGGGTGGGTGGAGGGGGGAGGGGAGGGTGGAGGAGTGGGTAGAGGAGTAGGTGGAAGGTGGGTGGAGGGGTGGGTGGAGGAGTGGGTGGAGGAGTGGGTGGAGGAGTGGGTGGAGGAGTGGGTGGAGGGTGGGTGGAGGAGTGGGTGGAGGGGTGGGTGGAGGAGTGGGGGAGGGGTGGGTGGAGGAGTGGGTAGAGTAGGTGTGAGTGGAGGAGTGGGTGGAGGGGTGGGTGGAGGAGTGGGTGGAGGAGTGGGTGGAGGGGTGGGTGGAGGAGTGGGTGGAGTAGGTGGAGGGGTGGGTGGAGAAGTGGGTGGAGGAGTGGGTGGAGGGTAGGTGGAGTGGGTGGAGGGGTGGGTGGAGGAGTGATAGTGGGTGGAGGGGTGGGTGGAGTGGGTGGGTGGAGTGGAGGGGTGGGTGGAGGAGTGGTGGAGGGGTGGGTGGAGAAGTGGGTGGAGAAGTGGGTGGAGGAGTGGGTGGAGGAGTGGGTGGAGGAGTGGGTGGAGGAGTGGGTGGAGGAGTGGGTGGAGGAGTGGGTGGAGGAGTGGGTGGAGGAGTGGGTGGAGTGGGTGGAGGAGTGGGTGGAGGAGTGGGTGGAGGAGTGGGTGGAGGAGTGGGTGGAGGAGTGGGTGGAGAAGTGGGTGGAGGAGTGGGTGGAGGAGTGGGTGGAGGAGTGGGTGGAGGAGTGGGTGGAGTGGAAGGGCGAGACAGGCGGCTGAGAGGTAAGAGGAGAGAAGATTATGCAAGACGTCGATGATTTATGAAGTGGGGAATTAGTGGGTGAGGGAGAGTGAGGGAGTGAGGGAGGGAGAGAGAGTGAGGGAGAGAGAGAGAGTGAGGGAGAGAGAGAGAGTGAGGGAGAGAGAGTGAGGGAGAGTGGTGAGGTAAAGTGGTGTTGCCATTACATAAAGGAGAAGCAGAAGCAGCCGCCACTCAGAAGGAAATTGGCTTTCTGAGTGTAGCAGATGGTGGAGCGAGGCCAGCCATCTGTAATGGTACCCCCCCCCCACAGTACCCCTGCTACGGGACACTACGTGGTACCTCCCACTGTGGAGGTCACGGTACCCCTGCTACGGGACACTACGTGGTACCTCCCACTGTGGAGGTCACGGTACCCCTGCAACGGGACACTACGTGGTACCTCCCACTGTGGAGGTCACGGTACCCCCTGCCACGGGACACTACGTGGTACCTCCCACTGTGGAGGTCACGGTACCCCCTGCCACGGGACACTACGTGGTACCTCCCACTGTGGAGGTCACGGTACCCCTGCTACGGGACACTACGTGGTACCTCCCACTGTGGAGGTCACGGTACCCCCTGCCACGGGACACTACGTGGTACCTCCCACTGTGGAGGTCACGGTACCCCCTGCTACGGGACACTACGTGGTACCTCCCACTGTGGAGGTCACGGTACCCCTGCTACGGGACCCTACGTGGTACCTCCCACTGTGGAGGTCACGGTACCCCTGCTACGGGACACTACGTGGTACCTCCCACTGTGGAGGTCACGGTACCCCTGCTACGGGACACTTCGTGGTACCTCCCACTGTGGAGGTCACGGTACCCCTGCTACGGGACACTACGTGGTACCTCCCACTGTGGAGGTCACGGTACCCCCTGCTACGGGACACTACGTGGTACCTCCCACTGTGGAGGTCACGGTACCCCCTGCCACGGGACACTACGTGGTACCTCCCACTGTGGAGGTCACGGTACCCCCTGCCACGGGACACTACGTGGTACCTCCCACTGTGGAGGTCACGGTACCCCCTTACCACGGGCTTGTGTACCGTACCTCTCCCACCACTGACACGTATATCATCTCTAATCATTCACATGTGTTAGGACAGTCCACCAGCTTTGCTTCCCACACCTGTACTTACATGTGTATGCCTGCTATCCCAGTCTATGTTGTTACAGATGTTACACCCGCTTGTTCCATGCGTGTTCACATATTACCAGCTATATTAATGTGTTCTCTGATCAGACCGACTACTTACTTCCCTTACTCCTGTGTTCTCTCTCTTTACTTATTATATTGATGCCTTCGTGTAGGAATATGTTGTGCTACAAGTCTTGACAATTTAGTTTCTGCGATGGCAACTTTGTCCGAGTTTCTTTTCGATGTCTCCCATTATTTTTATTCTCATATACATTTGTGTACAAAAATTTATGTTTGAGGATTCTATCAGCTTTGTTCCTCATGACTCAATTTCTCCACAGGGATTTTTTCTGAATCTCATTTATTCTCTTCGTCGTTGAAATCTCTCATGTTTAGGGATTTTTTTACTCATATTATTAGTCATCTCTGCGCCTTCTTGACTTATGACAACGTTAAGCCTGTTATTGTCTTGACTATCCTGTCTAGGCCTCCTGTTGTTCGCTGTTGGCATGCAGGAAAATCTTATCTATTACCCTCAGCATCCTGCTGTTACAGTTAAGGTGATGATGTCTGTAAGTCTAATCATCTCATTAATGTTCGCCAAGGTTCAATTATATTTTGATATTAGGGCAGTTTCCCTCCTTTATTATTATCTGTATTCATCTAGTATTTACCTAGTTGTGTTTGCGGGGGTTGAGCTTAGCTCTTTCGCTGTGTGCGTGTGCGTGTGTGTGTGTGCGTGTGTGTGTGTGTGTGTGTGTGTGTGTGTGTGTGTGTGTGTGTGTGTGTGTGTGTAAGGACCAAGCCACCACAACACACACACACACACAGCACTTGCGAGCGTTAAGTTACCGCAGCTCCCCTCAAGTGGAAACCCCACCTGCTCTTAGCTTAATTACTTGTATTTCCTCACATCCACCGTCCAGCCATTAAATCAAGGAGCCGGGGAGGGGGTCGAGGAAATTGAGAGAGGGGGAGATGGGGGGGAGAAGGGAGGGTAATGATCATGGTTGGCGAGTGAGATGAAC